TTATGTTATGCGTATGCATCTATATATTCCACGTGTGAGGGCCTTTATACTGATGAACTTATACGAAACTAGGCAAGTGATACAGCATGACAACGCTCGACTACATGCTGCAAAAGGGACAAAAGATCTCATCTATACATTGGGTCGGAAAACTCTCCCTCATGCGGCTTATTTGCCAGATCTAGCCCTGTCAGATTATCTATTTCGGTCACTTCAACATCATCTGACGGATCTATGAATTTTAAAACAATTGATGAAGTCCGAGAAACCATTAATAACTTTATTGAATCAAAATTTTTCCTCCAGGAAATTTATCAGCTGCCCAATAAATAAAATAAAAGCATAAAAAATAATGGAGATTATTTCGAACATTAAACTTATACTTGATCTTTTGTAAATAAACTTTGATTTGATTTGAAAACAGCCCCAAATTAATTTACACATCTAATAAAAATGCAAAAGTAGTAGTCTAGTATTGGGAACATCAGTATAAAGCATAGCAAATAAATGTTACATATACAAAATAAACTATTTTTGTTATGTTTTTAATAATAAAAATATGTCCTACAATATTACGCTTTATTGTAGGTTAAAAAAAATGTTTAAACATGAAAGAAGGAGGGCGTATTAGGTAGCGGCGGGACGCCATGCGTTCGGGACCTACATCTTATTTCGTTCCGGAGAGAGAAAAATATCGGGAGTGCGGTCCTCGCTAGGCCGAGGATCGAACCCGGGTCTTTCGCTTGCCGGGCGACTGCTCTAAACCACTGAGCTACCTGACGCTCCACGCTCACGACATTCTCCTCTCCCTAAATAATGTTAAAAGATATCGTTCGGAAGCGACATCTCTAATGCTATCCCCGAGTGCACGGCGACTACAGAGAATTGGAACTTGTAACATGCAAAGTTCCAACATACCAACCAATCTCCTTACAACCTGGACCACTTCACCATTCATTGAAAATCTGTCTTTACAACTCGGTACATATGATATATAGAAAACATTAAACTCATTTTTGTTGTGGATACTTAAGAATTGTGTGGTCACTTTAGTTATTTTATTAATTAATAGTTTTATTAATTAATAAGAGGGTAATATTAAAACATATATCAAATTCGCCAAAATCGAAGGAGACAATCTCTAATCCTCTTGTTAGTATTGATACACAATAAACAGGAAAAACGATGTAAATTCTTCTTTAAATCTGAAACCAGAATGACCCTGCCATAGGCCATTTATCTCGCATATTGGAATGTATTTGACTATAGTTTCATAACTTTTAGTTTTTGTCGAATCGACTTCTAACTTTATTAACCCCTTCACGTACAATAATGAATCTGGCTCGTGGTGCCGATTCCAACCCAAACTTCGTGAAAATTACAAGTCTGCTTGTGATCTCGTTTACCAGGTATGTAAATATGAAACCGGAATTTTTGTATAGAAAATACACGTTTATTGTATGAAAATGATAAAAGATATTTTATTCAAAGTATTGCCCATCGCTAGCTATACATTTTCCCACCTGTCTGACAATTTATGAATGCCACGCCAAAAAAACTGTTGCTCTTTTGAGGCAAACCAGTCATCAAGCCATTTTCGTACATTTTCGTAAGAAGTGAAGCGTTGCTCAGCAAGTGCGTGTCCCATCGATAATATCGCAAATAAGTAGTAATCGGACGGAGCCAAGTTTGGTGAGTAAGCCGCATGCGAAAGTATTTCCCAACTAAACGCCTCAATCGTTTCCTTGACCAGTTTTGCTGTGTGTGATGGTGCATTATCATGAAGCAAAATCACTTTGTGTTGCCTTTTTTGATATTCTGGTCGTTTTTCACGCAAAGCTTGATTCAAATCGATCATTTGTTGTCGGTAGCGTTCAGTATGAACGGTTTCGCCAGGTTTTAGCAGATCACACCCTTCTGATCCCATCAAACACAGAGCATTGTCTTCCGTCCATAGCGATTTGGCCTTGCAGTCGACGTCGATGGTTCGCCTGGAGTTACCCATGATCTTTTACGCTTAGGATTCTCAAAATATATCCACTTTTCATCGCCAGTCACAATTCGATGGAGAAATGACTTTCTTTTGTACCTGACGAGCAGCATTTCGCAAGTGGTTTTTCGGTTTTCCTGCTATCATTCATTCAGTTCATGTTGGAACCCATTTTCCCATCTTCTGGATCTTTCCGATGGCTTTCAAACATATGGAGACGGCTTCTCGTGTCACATTTAATTGATCCGCGAGTTGTTGCGTTTGAGCGTCATCCTCATCCAACAATGCTTGCAATTCGCTGTCTTCAAAGTTTTTCGGTGGTCTTCCACGTTCTTCGTTTCTCACGTAAAAATCGCCACGTTTGAATTTTTTAAACCACTCAAAGCACTGTGATTTACCAAGAGCATGCTCACCGTAAGCTTCGATAAGCATTCGATGCGATTCTGCAGCAATTTTCTTCAAATGGTAACAGAAAATCAATGCTGTCCGCAAATCGTAGCTTCCAGGCACAAAATTCGACATGTTCAACGCTATTACAAACTATGCTGTTATATGAAATTTGTATTGTTGTGAGTTGAAAATCTTTGTCAGATGTCAACAAATAGAAATGGCGCCAATGACACGGTTTGACGGTAACTACATTGACAGCTAGGGCCATCTATGGGCAAATTCCGGTTTCATATTTACAGACCTGGTAGAGGCAATACTTATTTTATTAACTTTTCATTATTTAAGCAATACAATACGGAAGGTCAAATCCCAGTATTGTTCATATTGATTTTTATTATTTAAGATCGTCTTAAATATAGTCTTATCTCTTTGAGGCACATATTTTTCATAAAATCCGAATCACATGGAAATTTATATACGGGGGTTTCTGGGCTCACTAATGACTAATCCGTTATCAGATTTTCGAAATTCAAGATGGCAGGTCCAATATGGCGGACGAAAAAATGAAAAATCGCGATAATTTCAATGCAATGAGTATTGTGGGGTTTTTGGAGTCGCTGATTTCAGCTAATCATGTACAAATTTTATAATCCGCCATCTTGGAAAAATAATTTTGGAATTTGGACCTCAGATTCGTAATCAGCGACCCAAAAATACCCCAAATCTTAATTTTAAGCAAAAAATTCACTCATAGTTCGTGAAAAATTTTTTTCTATAAAAATGTGTATTTTTCATATTTTGTTTATTTATAATAAATAGACAACTTATGCAAAACACTTTTCGACCTTTCATGTATGTTCCCATATCATATAAAAACCTAAAAACGCAAAAAACCCGACAAGAATCTCTCAAATATGAAATATTTCATGAGAATGTGAGAATAAATAGGTGGTAAGTATATTTACCACTATGCCTCAAAGGGTTAAGGTGTTGTAAACTAATCACAACAAAGCCATATGAGCGTCATAAAAGACATTACTTATGAATACTAGTCACTAACTAGCTACACGCGAGTGAGGCGCGCGCGCCGACCCTAAATGCTACATAGACAAGAGCACTTATTCATGAACTTTAACACGCTCTTCTGCAAAAACTATTTGTCGAACACAATTTTGCTAAAGGAAAAAGTTGTTTGTTTTAGCATAAAGTATCATATCCTGTATTCCGAATGCGGAAATTTTTGATCACCCTGTATATATAACCTATTTAATATATTAGAATATAAGTAAAACATTATTATGTTAAAGGAAAAAGAAAGATTACTCAAAATTGCATTTTATCATACAATTTCTGTAATAATTAGTATCTTCAACACCTTCAACAGTTATTTTCAAGTAGTAATCAGTTGCATTCCAATATTTGCTGCAGTACTAAAAATTTATAATATACATAATATGCAAATATATTGTACATAAATTATAGACTTTTAATATCAATAGTAAATATCAGAAAAGCAGATACTGTAACTTTTAAATGCTACATCTATATGTCTATTTTCTATAAGTTATCTATCGGTCTTGTTTTCAAAGAACTTTTGAAGTAGTATGCACTAGTGCAATTACTTAGAATAGCAAAACCTATGCTTCTTTCATTCTAACTTGTTGCACTAGTTTAAAAGTTCTTTGAAAATAAACCTGATATATATATTGGTCATAATGCCAACAGATAAGAAATAAACATTTAGTTGTTATTAACGAATATTATTTGTTATGACCATTTAGCCCAATTTAGTCTTCATTATATTGTTGTCCGATAACATTGTTGTTACTACTAACAAACTAACTAACTAACAACTAACTACTAACAACTACAATTTTAAAAAATTTATCTTACTTTGCTTTTTTAATATTCAACTTATTTATCTGGATTTTTTTATTTTCTCTAAGTCTGATTTTTTAAGTTAAGCTTAATTGCATTTTCTGCCATAGAATGAAACCTAATATATAACCTAGCATTGAAAAAAATTTCAATGCAACATTAATACAGCTAGAAAGAAACTTAATAATTATTCTGTTCTTTCTTACAAAATTTCCTGCATCATCTTGCATTTGCCTTTTGTTCGTATTCAAATAGCTCTCAACTAATACACCTATTTTTAAGATCCAAAAGTATAGACTAGTTTAATGAAAAAGAAAAAGTCTGAAAAGAACCATCTCTAGAACCAATTTCACTATCTTCAACTAATTTAGTCAGCCGATTATTCCATTCAAATTAACCAATCACATTTGTTGTTACGCAAAATTGACCAAAACTGATTAATCATGATTGATGCTTAATTGGTCAATTAAGTTAATCAAAGATAATAAAATTATCTTAGATATTTAAAAAATTATGCATTTATAAACTTTGTATTCTTATAACTTACTAACCATTGTAAACTAGAATGATATTTTTAGACATTTCCTACTTAAATTAATCTCAAAATGTAGAAGTAGAAATTAATCTCTATACCTTTAGTTCATATATCATGTGATATTATATATAGTGTACAACGTAATTCTGTATCTATGCATACTCAACGTCAATATCATAAATGCATATATATGTATGCAATACGTACATGTGTAAGTCACGCCGCGCTGCGTACAGTTAGTCAATATGTCGTTTGAATATGCACAACGTTACTGCAGCACACTTTCGTACGATTTCTTTTCGTTCTTATAGTTCACATTCACATCACAAGAAACACATGATGAGAAGAAAAGATGGGCGTAGGACACTGAATTTTAAACGTAACCTGTATGCAATATAAAAACACAAATCGATGGAATCTTTATTATTCACATGACATTAGTGAATCTATTTCAACTGATTATGACAAGATTTATTACAATTAAAAATATCTCCTATTAACCACTTGTTTAGACTAGCCTGCTTTGACTAGGTCGACCGTACAGCGCATACTAATGTCAAAGAGAAGTCTAAGAGCAGCCATACCGTATGGATTATAAGGGATATATTTCCTGCCGCGCCCTCTAGGAAAGTGCGAATAAACTAAGGTCGGTATCCATCATTGAATTGTAGAACCAGAGAGAAGCCTGAGAGCGGGCATGGCTGCATTTACAGCGTTATGGAAAAGTTGACTGATTCGAAGCTCCAACTGAGTCCATTTTTCATGGACATGAACTACTAAGCCAATGTCCACGATTTGTTGGTACTATTCCGTGCTATGTCCATAATTATTTGGTTCTGTTCTGTGCTATGTTCACGAGCGAGCTAGATTAGTTAGATAAAAACGAAGAATCGGTCTTTGTCTCACCACCAGCGAATAGACAATCGCGACGAAGCAAGCCAGCAGCGATGTTATCGTAAGGCAGTCGCCCTTTCATCCCCTTGTTTTCCTTTCCACATTGTTTTATATTCATAATTCGGGAAGAAAATAATTTCGAGAGTTCGGATGATTTCTAGTAATGACGCGACAGAGATAACGCGCGGCCATATTAATTTGTCATGACTTTTATATTACTTATAATTACATAAACGCCCATATATGCAAATTATAGATAATTATTGCGCGTATGTTTTAATATTGTACAATATGGTATATAATAACAACAACTTCATTTCCTGCAGTAATTTTTTTAAGATCTTCGTTGAAGTCGTGAATTAATTTTTTTCTTCATCAATCAGTTTTCTGCAAAAATTACGATTTTTTAAATAAAATATAAAATGTTTCTCTTCTCTTTTCTCCGAAGAGTTAATTAAAAAATATGTACTCCACAGAGTCAACTAAAAAATGTGTAGTCAGAAGAGTCAATTTAAAAGTGTACTCCGAAAAGTCAATTTAATAGCGTATTCCGAAGAGTCAATTTGAAAGCGTACTCTGAAAAGTCAAATTAATATTGTAATCCGAAAAGTCAATTTATAATAGAATATTTACTTCGATGATTCAGCTAAAGAAAAAACATTTATTTATTATTATATTCAGAGAATAATATTTAATTTATTATTTATACTTATCTTACTTATGCTTACCTTACATATGCTTCTTTGAATGAGAAATTTAATTTGTTGACTGATTCAGATTCAGATTTGTTAAAATATCTCTTATGCGCAACTCTCTTATGCGCAACTCTTGAACTCTTGAACTCTTGAACAGGTAGGTAGTAAAATAATTTTCTTTCTTTACGAATTTTATAAACTTTTCACGAATATAAAAATTGAAAGATTCTCAAAGAACAAATAACTTTTCTTGAACATTTAAACAAAAGGAAAATCTTTTCCTATTAATACAAAATGAATAATTAATATCTCACACAAGAGGAATCTTCATTCTTGAAATCACCGCGCGACTTTGCTTTTAGAAAAGTATAATATTGATGTAATAGTAACAAGTGCTATCCAAAAACGGTGCAAATCTTAAACGTTTTTGAGAAATGCAGTTTGAAGTTTAGTCTTTTCTGTTAATGTCGTTATAGCAGAAGAATTACCAATTTGCTTCAGTGGCGCAGTGGATCAGGATTTGTGATATGAGCGTAGAGGTTGTTCAAGTGTGTTATTTTTGCTATCACAGGGGAAACTATGTATTAATAGAATGTATAATAATACGCAGACAAATTCTTTACATAATCATACTTATTTCTTTTAGCATGAATAAAAATGATCAATGCTAACATGATAAGTGTATATCGCAATTGTACATATACGTGTACACATACACATACACATACACACGTATACCAATGATGTCAAAATCGAACAATTCGTGAAAATTTGTTATTGATCGCAATTGTACGCAAAGAAGAAAGAGAAGTACACGGGTCTCCGCGGGTATCTCGTCATATTAATTGTCTATGAGCTGATAAACAGTTGATCTCCGATATTTACAAGTTACACTTGTCCGCAGCTTGTTCGGTTTTGACATCATTGGTATCAGTGATGCGATTTGGTGACGGGCTTGCACGAGGATTCTCCACCCTCCCCTCATGCACGCACACAGCCAGCTCGGTCAATCCGTGTGAGCCACGCGATCGGCAATTGTCGACGCGCCGAGCGCGCGAGAGAGAGAGAGAGAGAGAGGGAGAGGGAGAGGGAGAAGGAGAGGGAGAGGGAGAGGGAGAGGGAGAGGGAGAGGGGGAGAGAGAGAGAGACAGATTGATTGATTGATTGATTGATTGATTAATCTTTACTAGCTTTCTCAGCTATTACACTACATTTAAATACAAAAGTTGCTGTGAATTAACTTAACACTAACTTATACTTAACTTATACCTAAAATGTGCTTCTTTAGTTTTCGCTTAAAATGCTCCAATCTCTCACAACACCTTATCTCCATCGGTAAATCATTATTTATCTTTATTCCATTGTAAAACATACATTTCTGCGCATTATTTGTTCTTCAAAATTGCACTACAATATTTTCCCCTTGCCCCGTTTGTCTATCACTAATGCTACTCACTCTTTGTATCTTCCTTCTCAAATAATCAGGCCAAAGGCCTTTCATTATTTTGAAAATAAATATACCTGTATTGTAGTACAACCTCTGTCTTACCGTCATAAACTGCAAAGCCCTCAGCATACATTCTATCTCAGTATCTCGTCTGCACTGCAGTATGACCTTCATTGCACGATTTTGCGCTATTTGCAATTTATCTAACTGCTCCTCACTCATCCCAATTAATATAGTCGCACAATATTCAAAGTGAGGCGCAATAATCGATTTATACAGGGTGTTTGATAGCTGATCATGCAGACGAAAGTTGGAGATAGATTGGGTGTAGCCGAGAAGAAAATTCATGTACTATAATGTCAAATTGCCAATAGTTATCGAGTTATTAATTAAAACATGTGAGCCAACGAGCGCGTAGAGAGCGAAGGGCGACCGCAGTAAGCACATAGACATTTGATACAGGCGGAGTCAGCGAGTAACGGTAGGCGAGCGCGCGCGGTGAGAGGCAACGTAAACAACAAGAGGCGAACGCACGCGACGAGGAGCGAGCGAGCGCGAACGACAAGAGGCGAGCGAGCGCGACGAAGAGCGAGCGAGCGCGAACGACGAGGAGTGAGCGAGCTATAAGGAAAAAGCTATAAAGAAAAAGCTCGCTCGCTCCTCGTCGCGCGCGATCGCCTCTTGTCGCTTATGTTGCTCCTCGCCGCGCGCGCTTGTCTACACCGCAACTCGCTGACTCCGCCTGTAACAAATGTCTACGTGCTTACTGCGGCCGCCCTCCGCTCTCTACGCGCTCGTTGGCTCACATGTTTTAATTAATAACTCGGTAACTATTGCCAATTTGACATTATGGTACATGACTTTTCTTCTCGGCTACACCCAATCTATCTCCAACTTTCGTCTGCATGATCAGCTATCAAACACCCTGTATATGATACATCTTATACCCGCCGATATACTGTTACCCATCCTGTTCAAAAAACTTGTTTTCTTCCCTATCTTCTTACACATATAATCGCAATGGTCACCCATTTTTAGTTTTAGTTTAGTTTACTATCAATGATTACACCGAGGTATTTTATTTTTTCCACCTGTTCTATTGTTGTCCCATCCATACATTTCAAAACCGTACACGTTTTCAATTCTTTCCTCACACCCCTTACAACCATATATTTTGTTTTACTTGCATTTAACTTTAATCCATTTACTCTTAACCATCTCTCAACTTTATTAAACATAGAATTCTTTTTTTTTTCAACTTCATTACAACTTTCGCCGGCTGTGTACAATATGGTATCATCTGCAAATAATTTTATACTACATCCTTCTGAGCAGCTTTTAATTATATCATTTATATATATAATAAACAATAAAGGTCCCAACACTGAACCCTGTGGGACTCCATGTTTAGTCTTAAGCAGCTTAGATATTCTCTCCCCAAGACGCACTTGTTGTTTTCTATTATCCAGATAAGATTGAAACCATTCCAATACCGTTCCTCTGACTCCATATTGATATAATTTTTTTACTAGCCTTTCTCTGTTTATAGTTTCAAACGCTCGTTTCAGATCCATAAATATTACTCCTATCATCTTACCCTCACTGATTATTAGTTTCCATTCGTCTATAATCATTTGTATCGCAGTTTCACACGAGTGTTGCTTCCTAAAGCCCGATTGATTTTCCGTGATGATGTCATTACTTTCTAGATGTAACTCTACCTGTTCTTTAACAATAATCTCCAGTACTTTTTCATATATCGGTAGAACGTTGATTGGTCTATATTCACTTGCATTCCTAGGTTTCGCCATTTTTGGTATCGGAACAATCGTAGATGTCTTCCAACTATTCGGACATTGACCCTTCTTTAGAGAATCATTCACTACTCCTACAAACTCGTCCTTTATGACATGAAATACTGATTTTAATACCTTACTTGAAATTCCTTTCTCCGTTCCCTTCTTATTAGGTAAGCTCATAACAACTTCCTCCAGAAATTTTGTTTCAATCATTTGAAAAACCTCTATTACATTTCTTACTTCTACTTCTATCCCCTCTATAGTTTCTTTACCTGCTTTATCTTTTCCTGTTTCTATAGAACCCACTATATTATTAATGCTATGCACATAAAATAAGTTAAATTTATCTTCTATGTTGTACTCTTTTATGTCCTCTATATGGTCTATTATCTCAAAATTTATATCTAAATTTATATTCTCTGCCTCACCACTCCCCCCTGTCGTTCCTTTAATTAGTGTATTTAGATTTTTCCACATAATCCTGGGGTCACTCTTATTTTGCTCTATCATACTTTCGTAATACTTCCTCTTTCTGTCTTTAATAAGTTTCACTACCGCATTTCTCCTCTCCCTATACTTTAACCAATCCTGTTCTGTGTTCGTATATACTGCTCTACCATACATCTCATCTCTTGTCTTTGCCGCTTGTCTGATCTCATCCGAGAACCATTTTTTTCCCCACCATACTCTTGGTATTCTAAACTCTTTTTTAGG